CAAATATAGTAGATAGTGTGAAGAACTTATAAACGGCAAAGAGAGATTGTAAAAATGCTGGTTTGAGTGAAAAAAGTAGAGTAAGATTTGTAAATCACTTTATTCATATAAATTAAAAGCTTAAAAGTACAAGACACAGTCTACCAATATGCATGTGTATTTAAGATTGTGTATGAGATATTAGAATGGGGGCTTATGTGTTGAAAGGGACATGAGCATAGGCAACATCAAAGAAAGGGGCCTTTGGCTACTTCAAAAGACTTAAGAGACTGTTGTTCAATATCTAACAAATAAAACTAGTTAAACTATAAAAAAAATACACTTTTGAAAAGCTGTTAGAATGCTGAGGTTGCAAAGAAACATAATTCACCTAATTACAGAAGATTCCCAAGAAGAGATAATGCTTTATACGAAGGGAGTAAGGAGAACCCGCACAAACTTTTATAAACTTGTGTGTGTGTGTGTGTATGCTTTCTGTGTTGTAAACAGAAAGATCCACAACCTCATTTCCAGAGTCCTGTGTGTAAACAGTTTAATCACTCTGACCCAGTTGTGATTCACCTTTGCAGCTATCCCCAGTGTTTTAACAAGATGAGCATGTGACAGAGAATTATATTCTTCTATTGTTTAAATCTACTTTATTGATTTAAAATTTATATATAACATAATGCACTGACTTTATTTATACAGTTAACTGAGTTTTGAAAATATATATATACCCATATAAACACCACAATTGAGATATATCACATTTCCATCACCCTAAATTTTCCTTTGCTATGATTTCCCCATCGTCAGTCCCTGACAACCACGAATCTAGTTTCTGTCATTATAGATTAGGGCTTAATCTAGAATTTCATGTAAATTATAGAATATGTTCTCTTTTGAATTTGGCTTGCTTTGATAAACATGTTTTCAGGATTAATCCATGTTGTTTGCCTATTTTTGTTTCTGAGAAGCATAATTTAGTGTATGTAGCACAATTTTATATCCACTGAGCTGCTGAAAATTATGACTAGGCCTGGGATTACTATAAATATAGCTATTCTGAACATTTGTGTGAAAATCCTTGTGTGTGCAGATGTGGTTTTGTAGGCCTGGAATATTTCAGTCTTAGCCTATGTTTGTGTTTAACTATGTGAGAAACTGTTAAATTGTTTTCCAAAATGTGTGTCCTATTTTACATTACCATCAGCAATGTCTGAGTGTTCTAGTTTTATCACATTCTAACTGTAACTTAGTACATCTATTAAAAAATTTGTTTTAGCCAGTCAAGTGAGTGTGGAGTGGTATTTTATGGATTTCAGTTTGTATTTTCTCATAGCTATGTGTGTTAATAATTGGTTATTTATTTATCTTTTGTGAAATGTCATTTCAAATATTCTGCCAATTGATTGAGCTTTTTCTTATTGAGTGCTTTAATTTATGTTTTGTATATAAGATCTTTGATATATATATATGAAAATGGTTATATATTGATATAACCAATAAAATATTGTACATTGATAAATATATATCAAATCAAACACACACATAATATTTTTCCACAGTTTGAGGCTTAATTTTCATTGTCTTAAATATGTTGTTTAAAGAGCAAATAAATTCTGTTTTGATGAGGTTCAATTTACAATATTTTTTCAATGTTTAAGTCATGCCTAAGAAATTTTGCCTATTCAACATCTCAAAAATGTTCTGCCACATTTTTCTTGTATGTTTCATTCTAGAAGTTCAGTTTTAATTTTTATCTCCTTAAACTGCATGGAGCCAACACTGAGCACAAAGCAGTGACCAAAGTCTGGGTCGAGCTGGCAGTGTGGCATGGAAAACCTGAGGGTGAGGGCAGGCTGTAGAGCAAAGGAAACTTCCAAGTGGCTTGAAAACCTGGCCACTGAACTCTAAAATACAGAGTGGTTAAAGATCTTAACAGGCTGTAAGTGCACAGAGAGTTTATGAAAGACTAGCCAGTTGAACAGAAAGTCAGTCCTTCTCAAAATATTTAAAGCTAGTATGAAATAATTACAAGGATCTAGCTCAACTACAAAGATATTAACTCTGCATGCTATTCAGACAACCATAAGAATGATGGAGTTTGTCTACCTTTCTCTGGCAGCAAATATTATTTTCAGTCTCTTCTGTTCCACTCCCTCCAGCAAAATTTTAGAAATACAACTTTTTAAAAAAATTGAGACACAAAAAAGAAAAAAAATGACCCAGAGTCAAGAGAATATACCAGTCAATAGAATAAATCTACAGAAGGATCAGTCCTATGGAGGACTTGGAAACAGCATGTAAGTTCTTCAGAATAGCTATGATAAATGTCAAGAATTCCAAAAAAAAAAAAAAGAGATGAAATTTAAGAACCAGGGGATTTCAGCAGGAAAATAGGAAGTATAAAAAGTACTAAATTTAAACAGTAGAACTAGAAAAATATAATAAGCAAAATAAATTTATCTTTGAACTTAGCAGAAACTTGAACACAGCAAAAGAATGAAACAGTGAACTTGAAGATAAATCAATATAAATTTTAACACAAAGAGAATTAAAAAATCTTTAAAATATCCCAAAGATTCAATCAGTAGATCAGGTGGGCTATAATATGGGGAAAATAGCCTCTCCTGTCCTTATAACCCAAATTCTGCCCATAGGACAATCCTGATTTTGTTCTGAAAACATTTATAGCCACTGGTAAATTGAATCAGAATAAAGTTATAACAAAGACCTGACCCAGTTCAACCAAAGTTCAGATAGATGCCGTTCTCACTCTAAGGGCCTGACAGCAAAAGGGATATGCCCCTCTTGTGTAGAAAAATAGTATGGCATTATTTTTCCATTGTTCTTTTATAAAAAAAATCTGACATGAAATTATAGATTAAAAGACATGGAAAAGCAAGAAAATGAGAACTGTGATCAAAATAGAAAAACAATAGAAAAAGGTTTTGAAGTGGTTAAGATGTTCAGTTTATCAGGCAGGGATTTCACTATAACTACGTGCAAAGGTGGGACAACATATTTTGGCAAATGAGACTTTTAGTAGACTAATGGTAACTGTACAAAAGGGAAAAATGGGAAGACTAGAAATGACAAATATAGTATCTGAAATAAATACTTCATAAGTAGGCTTAATAGCAAGGGAAAATATCAATGATATTGGAGACAGAATAATGTAAAAAAAATCCCAGTCTGACAGTCAAAGTGGGAAAAACAGTTAAAAAAAAATAAGAACAGAGCTTTTGAAATCTGTAGGATGAGATATAACATATGTGCAATTGGAGTCTTTGGCTGAGAAGTGAGAGACAACGGAGCAGGACTGTTTAAAAAGGTAATGGCTGAGAGCTTTCATTAATGATAAAAATATACAACCACAAATCCAAAGTCAGCAAACACCAAACAAGATAAATATAAAAGGAAAAAAAATCAAACCTATGTACATTGTAGTGAAAATGAAAAAAGTAAACATTGATAGCTGATATAAAAAGTAACTAGAGAAAAGTTGGTCACTGCCCATTTGAACCTTCAACTCTACAGAGGCATCTCAGAATTGCATGAACCTCAGTCACTGCCTAAGCAACCTTTGTACGTCTGGGAATCAAAGGCTTTTCAAGTCATGACAAACTCAGAAATTCCCATAGGTGGGTTGCATTGGTGCCCCTTACCTGCTAGAGGTATCCATAAATTATCTGATATACATGTAATTTTCAAGGAAGATTAATAAACCATAAGCGATAAGCAGTGATTCTCAGTAAAGAGGACGTGATGTTATCATAGACAGTTTATGTTCATTGCTAAGGTTTCTGTGAAGCCCAAAAGAAGTTTGTGGAAAAGTAAAGCAAAAACAATGTTTGCTGTTGCTGTTATTCTTAGCGTGGTATCTTTGAAAGCATTTGGCTCATGTGTAAACTGTGAATAGATTTATTCTTACTATAGATCTTAACAACCTCAGCAAACTTTTTTTTTCCTTATTCAGTCAAGAACTTTCACCTTTTCACTTAAAGGAAACATTTTACAGCTTCTCTTTGGCAGATCTTAACTGCCAACGTCACTACTCTTCTGCTTTGGACCATTATTAAGTAAAGTGAGAGTTACTTGAACACAAGCACTGTGATACCTTGATAGTCAACATGATAACCCACATAGCTACTAAGGGATTAAGCATCAGGTGGTGTTAGCATCGATACGCTGAACAGAGATGATCTGCATACCAGTGGGATGGAATGAGACAGTGTGAGATTTCATGATGTTACTCAGAAGGGCATTCAATTTACAACTTATGAATTGTTTATTTCTGGAATTTTTCATTTAATATTTTCAGAATTTGGTTGACTGTGGGTAACAAAACACAGAAAGCAAAACTGTGGGTAAGGGGCGACTACTGTAATAATATGAATAAATGAATCCACATCTAAGTAGAAATGAAAAGAATTCAAGGCAGTTACTGAATTCATCTCCATACTTCTGATAAAAAGTGCCAAATTAATTTCAGTTTTGAATGTTTTCAGGAAAGAGATTCCATGAGGTGACCTGGTTTATTAAGTATAAGGAAATACACACACACACACACACACACACACACACACACACACACACACACACACACACACACACACACACACACACAAACTTAAGAAACATAGAAAAGCTATAGATTTGGGAAACATTTGACAGACCACTCTGATGAGCCAAGCTCATAGACCAAAATAAATAGCTCTTCTTAAACCAATATGTCAAACTGTAAGGTGAAATGGCAGGACAGAAAGATGCCACGCATTACAGAGGAACTCCAGCCAAAACCCAACAACAGCGTTACCTGTGGGTCACGTAAAAGCTTTTACTGAAAACCCCAAACCTTAAATTTATAGCCAAATATGATAGGCAGGGATGACTTCAGTGATAACATTCTTAAATAAGAAAGGAAAGAGTATTTATTATTCAAGTTTTATAGGCTTGTGTGTGCTATTTCTCCAGCAACAAATCAAATTAACAATGAAACTGTTCAGTTTCAGGTCACATAGTTAATTAGAATGAAACTTAATATTCACTAGTTGTAATCTAGTTGATAATTGATTTCAACCAAGTCTTTGGATTATTTTTAATCAAATCATATAGGATCAGTTGGCCGCTCATTTCAAAATTCCCTTTCTAAGTATGATGACATGATATAAGCATATTTTTTTCTGTTTACTTCTTTAAATTTATAGCCTTTAATTTTAGGAAACTATTTTAGAAAATCTGCAGATTATATGTTTTTCCCCTACAATTTAGGTTACTGCCAAAAATTAACTTACAAATAATTAAATTAACTGCCAAAGTGACACTATCCAGGTCTTACATAGTCCAGGGGAAGATTTCTGAATATACAGTTCCTACAGAGTGCTGTCTGAAATGCACTCTGTGTCAAATAACACCGAGTAAATGACATATTTCCCTTCTCTACAGCTCTATTAAAGCCTCTGAAAATTCTACAGTACAAAATTCTTTAATGTATTTTAACCCAGTAATTTTTATACATATATAATGAAATACCATGATATCACTGCTCAGACAGTAATACTAATCTTAGATTCAGATTAACAAATCAAACTTCATGACACACTATAGTCTTTACCCAATGCTGAATTTATTTAGCCTTTCAAAGGGGTACAGAGTGCACAACAGAACAACAGGCATGGTGATGACAAATTGAAATCATAATGGTATAGTCACAGTTCAATACAAAAAGTTGAGTCAGATTGCCATTTAAGATCTGGTCTCAGACACATCCCTTTACCAATGAAAATTTGAACTTTCTGTGAACTCTACCAAACCCAAGGATGTCAGACATTTTTAAAATAACATCACCAGCTGCAAACTTATGGCCTCAAGGTTTTGCCCCATGTAACTATGCAACCATTTTGGACCCCCTATGCAACCATTTTGGACCCCAGCCCATTAATAAGCACCTTTACTTCTTGCCAGCTCCAATTATAATTCTTGATAAACAACTTATGTAACCTTGTGGGGTTTTTTGCCTTTATAAGCCTCCTACAATTTGTAGTCCAGTAAACACAATTCAAGTGCTTTTTGAATATGTGTCTACTCCTAACAAACCCCCAATAAATGTCTTTCTATTTCAACCAGGTCTCCATTTGTGAAGTTTTGATTAATGGCTAAAGCTGAATATCCCCACGTTACTCTGCACCTAGGAGGTAATGACTCCAAAATACTATAAAGATAAAGTTGAACAGAAGTTGAGTGTGAGCAGACCACCTCAATGTAGATAAGACATCAGCTCTGTCAGTCCCCCAGATCATGGGGTAGGTAACTACTTTGTTTCTATTTTCCAAGTTACATCTTACTAATACCAGTTAACTAGAATTTGATCAACAACTTCAACAAGGATACACAGCTGCTTGATGTATACGTTGTCCTCAGCTATTTTTCATTGTCTCTAATACTGTACACTCCTAGAAATTCTGTGTTGGTGTTTCATGGAAGACTTGATCAAGGTGTCCTTCAGGCTAGAGGCTATTTTACAAAATATTCTGAACTATTTTATTTTACCAAGAAAACATGATTATTTTAAAATACCCCAGGAGCACAATTTAGGAAAAATTGTATTAGTAATTGAATTAATTACCTTTTACATAAATTAAACAGATCTATTAAAATCCTTTTTTAAACCTTATTTATGCTTGGATGGACATGTGTTGCATTGAATAAGTTTGTTATGATCTTAAAGATGAAATAATGTGATTGATTTGGCCTGTTTGAAATCACATAGGCACTCCCTCACGTACCATGTGGATCAAACAGAATTGTTACACAAGAGTACAAGTTGCTCACTCCCTGCAAAAAGTGGATGTTAGTAATTTAAAAAGATAAATATGGCTGAAAAAAACTCTATTCCAATCAATATGGATGTACACATGTGTATTTATATATGCACATGCTAATATATGTGGAAAATGTTTTAACTACTATGAGGAATCAAGATAGGTAAGATAATATTTCTACCTCATGAGCTTACGCAACACTGGGAATGAAAAAGAAAAGACGCTAGGCATTAAAATATCTAATTAAAAGTGTAAGTTCAGAGGAATTTTAAATTGTTCAGAGTTGAAAAATGCAGAAAGTGACATTCAGTTTGAATTCTAGCAAGTAGGTGACTATTTCAATAGAAATATGTATGTGATCTAATTTTGAGAGAGAAATATCAAGAAATAAAGGCATGGAAGTAGGAACTAACAAGACATATCCATACTGTTTGTATAGTAGAATCATGGAAAACAGAATAGACAGTTAGGTTTAAATTATGGATTTGAGTAAAAAAATTTTGTACATCTTACAGCAGCCAATTAGAAATTATGGATAAAAGGGTGACATCATCAAAAAGCGATTAGGATTATTTAAGATCCATGTCTGTACAACTGATAGAAACAAATGTAGAGCCAAATGGGCATTCTAAAGTAAGGCAGGAAAAAAAAATTATTCTACTAAGGCCTCAGAGTAAAGATGTAAAATAGAGATTAAAAATATTTCATTGTATAATGGAACACAAAATAGTGGATGTTTAAGGTTAATTAATTTTACCTATGTGTCAAGCAGAGTGCTCAGTTCATTCCTTCTGCTATATGAATATGTTTATGACTTCTGCATTGAGAAAGAAAAATATCTTAGATAGACAGCACTGAAGGAAAGTCTGTGTATAGTACTTCCATTTTCAGCAACAGCTAAAAATTACTAAAAATACTGGGCAAAATATTTTTTATAAATTTTCCTTAAAACTATCAAAGAACTGATATTGCAGTAGAAAAGCTGACAAGATACCCCAAGAGCAAATTCCATTTGCTACACTGAGTACCATACAACTGGACTCACATTTGTCCTGAAGAAGTGTAATAATCCAAACAAATTTAAATTGTACTTTGGTGGATTTACACAGTGCTGGAATAGAAGTCAAAGGTCAGCAGGGTTTGCATATGGTGGGGAAGTTAAGAGGAGATGTTCTCACATTGATCTGAGGCACCAAAGTACCAAAGCTCAGGTATTATAAAATAAGGTCTTCTAGAGGATTTTAAAGAAGTCTGTCTTGACACTGACAGATTATGGGAGAAAAGAACAGGGTAAAAACATGTTTGAGGCAGCTCATCTGAGGCTACAAGAACCTAAGTTTGTGAATATAGTGGTGTTAAGTACTAAGCACTCTGACCCTGGTAAAGGCAAGAGGAAATATTTTCTAATGGGGAAATTTTAAAAAATTTCATTCTAGGCCCCAAATTTCCAACAATAATGAGTAGTATGCAAATGATAAACACCTTAGCAGTTAAGGCACCATGTGTAAAAGCAGCCAGAAAGAAAGTAGTCAGTCAGTACAAAGTCTCCAATTATAAGAAAGAAGCCCACAAAGACTTCAGATTTGGACTTGTTAGGCACAGGTTACAAAACAATTCTAAGTAGTAAAAAATCGAAAAGATAAGCTTGAAAATGTTTTCAGGATTCAGACACAATAAAATAAAAGCTAACAGATTTGAAAACAAAACACACCTGAAAAAGCAGCAAATAAATTTTTAAATGATAAATACAGTAATTGAAAGCAGGAAGTTTTAACAGAGGATAAGTCCGCTAACTTTGTCTTTCTGATACTACTGTCCTTCTTGATTTGGTGTCTGTTTTAGAATTAAACTGTGAGCAACATTTATTAAGCTTGATATATTTACATGCAATCAGTTGCTAGGGTGCTCATGCTTAGATATTAAAGAACTCTATTTTGTGTACCAAAAATAATAATTCATCCTAGGGTTTTTAAGTTTGATATTTCCCAGTTAGTGACTGAATTTGATCATTGCTAGGGTCAAAGGATCTTTCTCATGCTTAGATTATAATAAATAATACAAATATCTATTTTTTCCCATTTTAAAAGCATTTCTTCTTCATTCATCAATAAAATGACTTATTTATATATAATATTTGTTCACATGTTTGTCAACTTAAACATAACCATATATTTCAAATCATAACGGAATGCTTGTGGACATTCTAAATTGCATTAAATAACCAGTTTATATGAAGTAACGGGATAGCCCTGTCTTCCTGGTTTTCTGATCAGTTGCCTTAGGAATTATTCTGTCTTGCTTGAGCACATTTACCAATTTAACAAAACCATGAATCTTCAGTTGTTTTATATTAAGCTCATGATCTGATTATTGGTCATATCCAAGGCAGTTTTTAAAAAGCTCCCATAAATATGCCATGAATGAATTAAAGAAAGCCCCAGCATGCCTTTGAAGTACAAAGTAGAGAGCCACTTTAAAAATCAGAGTCTGTAGCCACTGTAATCATGTTTCAAATTCTTATATTAAAACACTTGAGTCACCTTAAGAAATCTTGGGATCCTTTTAGATGGTAACCTTAAAAGTACTTTTTCCTAACGAGGTATCATCTATTTTTATAATTTGTAAGAAAACTCCAAATACGTCATTCTATGTCATTATTTTTTAATGTGACCATAGATAAAAAGATTGCCTCCTCTTTTTTATGTCTATAGTATTAGCTCTTCATGCCAACACTAGTTGCCTTGTCAGTAACAATTCTATGCAAACACATTTAATGAAGTCTCTGCTGAAATCAGTGGTCTAATCCACCAGTTCAATGTCCTAACCCTCCATAAACTTGAGATGCTTATTATTGAACAGCATTCTTCTGTAAGGACTCATTTTTTTCTCTAAAACTTCTTTCTAGTCCTAATCAAATTTCCCATCCTTTCCCTTTTCAATTTGAGGAATGTTTTCAGGATAGTTTTTTCCACACAACTGTTCACTTTGTTTTCCCATTTCTTATTCTTTCCCTTCCCTCCTCTTCACTTACAATTCAAGACACTCCCTTTTATTAGCCTCCCACTTAACTCCTCTCTATTCACTTTACAGCTCCCAGTTATGCTACATACCTTATGCACTCTAGGAGAAACTTATGCAGGTGAATGAACAGTCAAAGTATATGAAAGCAAATTAATTGTCTTCTTCCAATAGCATTTGTGAGAAATATACTGATTTGAAATATACTCATTTTTCTGACAGTCACTTAGATGACAACCTGTCTCTTATGATCCAAAGTTAAAGTAATAACTTGGGTTTGTTTTTTAGAATATTTTCATTCTCCTTTCTCTCAGTACAATTAACAAAATGTATATGAATATGTGAATACACTTTTTTACATTGTTTCAAAACAGAAAAGTGATAAATTCCCCCACATTTTACCTCAATTTGTTACAACGCTTCTGCTTTCTTGTCATTCCCAGTACTCACCTTTGAATGTACTGAAATGAGGCCCACTGCTGCCTCAAGAAAGAGAGTTTCAACAGCTAAAACTTACTGCTACTTTACATGAAATTCTGACAAGTTGTCTTGTTCGTTCTCATTTGTAGTTCTTAGTAAAATAACAACCACACCTTGACTTTGAATATATAAAATACTAAACTGTCATGTTATCTTTTTGGAGAGGTTAAATCTACTGGGTCCAAATACTCTCTGTGGTCAGTGTCTCCAATTTTGTCATAAACTCAAGATGTTTGTTATTTGGACATATTTTAAACTTAAATAATTTTTCTTATTACAAATTGTCATTGGATAAAGATAATATTTTAAAATAAATAGCCAAAACATTGTTTTTATCTAATTTAAATATATAAAAGTCAGAGAGAGACACAAACATAGGCTCCCTCAAAAAACATTAATAACCAGATACAATGAAAATGGATGTGAAAAACTAGCAATGGATGCTACATACATAAATGAACAATCATATAACACACTGGGTGTTGTTTGCTTGTTTCCATTCACAAAAAAAAGAACAAGGGTCATCCTGGGAAAAAAAAATTCAAATACAAGCCCCTAGGAGATCTTCCTTTTGTTTTTGCCATGAGTAGCCCCAAGTCATATTCAATTCCAGTGACATTAGGATGATGTCATAATTGTTGGGCCAGCTTTATATACTTTTTTTTTTGCAAGATATCTCTTTCAGATTATATTGTAAATATTCAAAATGGAATTCAAAATTAAATTTATTGTTTTTTAAATAAAATTAAACACAGTGATATTGACATAATGATGATCAAAGACTTGAGAGCTGACACCAAAATCTCTGAATTGTTCAAAGCAGATAAACTGCAGATTATATTTTATTTATTTTCACATATTACTTTCGAGTCATATCTATATATCACACAAAAAGGGAAAGTAAAGAAAGAAAAATGTGATCTAACCTTTGTGATATGTGGACAATTTAGGAACTTTGGAGATTTCTTTCTTAATGGAGAGATAGGCAAAACTCATTTAGAAATCTCTCAGAATGGTCTTCTCTGAAGGGTAATTCTGACTGAGTTTCCACCACT